ATATTTTATGAAATTAATTTTCTCTGCTTTTTCCCATCTCTTTACCTTCCAGGATACCCATATTCTGTAATTTGTATATGCTTTCATTTTAATGGTTATTTCTTTCTTTGTTTTTGACAGATTGGACTATTTCAAAGTTTTAATCTTGGAATTCAGAGATTTTTTTTCCCTCTGCATGGTATAACATAATATTGATGTTCTTTACAGAATTTTTTATTACCTGTATTGTCTTCTTCATCTTCAGGACTTGTTTCTTTTAAAAGATGTTTCTCTATTGAATCTCTCCCCATGTCTTGCATTCTTTTTCTCATGTTTTGAAGTTGTCCATCTTTGTTCTCTTGTAGCTCATTAAGTTTTGTTATTGATATTCTAAAATTCATTTCCAACATTGGTGTGATTTTCTGAATTTTGTCTGTTTTTAGTGTGGAGCTGGTGTGTTTCTTTGGGAGAAAGATAGAGAATTCCTTAGTTTTATTTGTGTGTGTTTCTTGTGTCCATTTACTGCTTTTTAAGATTCTGTTGGAGTACTTACTTCTTCACAATTTCTGTATTAAGTTTTATAGTTAATAGTGTTTTATTTTAGGTCTTTACTTAATCAAAGACTGTATTTTCTGAGACACCTATGGGAACACTATGGGCCTTTCAGGCCAGCAGTTTTGAGTTCTGGGGAGATTAATGTTGTGTATTTGTGTTCTACCTGTAGAAGGGATAGGTTTCCTTGAACTGATCATGACTGCTGCCGTTGCCTGAGTTCTCAGACCCTATAGGGAGTAGGGTCCTTATTTTGGTGTAGTAACTGACAAAATATCAGCTGAGACTATCAGCTGAAAATAAGTAATAACCAGTGCTTTGGATGAGTCATACTTAGGAAAGATGTAGAAGTCATGACTCAAGGGATAGCTAGTTGTTTACCCATTTGTGGGTAATCCTTAGAGATAGAAGAAGCTGCCCTCTCCAGTACCTAATTCTCTCCATAGCTGTTGTACCCCTCTATAGGTAGTTCAGTGCAGGTGAGTGGTCATGGCAGGGATTGTTGTTGGTACAGAAAGATACTGGGCATACCTGTTTGGAAGGCTGTGAGGCTGAGGGAGAAGTATGCATTGCTGCTGTGCAGCTGGGGAGCAGAGATGGAGCTGTGTATTGTCTACCATCTGTGTTCCAGTGCCGGACTATGGGACTGCATTGGAACTTCATGTGTCCAGTGGCATAAACTGCATGAGTCCAGTTGCTAGCTGCCTGGGACCATTGGTGCAAGCGTAGTTGATCTGATGGCACAAGCTGCATAGGTCTGTAAGCCTGTGTGTATTTCCACACGTGGGGGGCAAACACTGGAGTTACAGTATTCCTGTAGGCTCAGGGGCAGGGCTAAATTGTTCAAATCTGCCCATACTTCCACATGCACTTCCAGTAGCACAAGCTGGGTTGGTCCTCTGGTCTATGGAAGTCCACGCAGCTGGAAGGAGGGGTAGAATTGTGTTCAGCTGCATTCCAGTGGGTGTTGCCAGAATAGATTGTCCTTTAACTCACTTTTTTTTTTTTCCCTTGGTATCTACTTGCCAGATACAGAAGGAGCTAGAAAAAGCATCCCCCACCCAAGTGCAGGCATGAGCCTAGCATATTTTTCAAGCCCATGGGACTAGGATTCAGTTTCCAGTACACAGCTCTTAACCATTGTGCTACAGGGCTGGCCTGCCTCTATTTTGCTTAACAAGATATTTTAGTGATTATTCTATGTACATGTAGATCTAGTTTTTTAAAAATTATTGCATATCACATTATATTGTATATATGCTTCAATTTATAATGTATTTAGCAATTCATCTTTCTTCTGATAGATATTTAGTTCTTGTCATTTTTATTATTACACAAAGTGCTATAAGCAGACTTTTTTATGCATTCTTTCTCTCTCTCCCTCTCTTTTATTTTGCTGTAGGACAGGTATGTTGGGACCAGCAGTTAGCATAATGGCTATGTCACTGAACTCCCTTATAGTTGACCGCGGTTCAAGTCCTGGACCCGGTGGCTTAAACTCATACCAGGCATGTGTGCGTGTGTGCCCAAGATCCTGAGAGGAGAATGGAGGAGAAGGGATTGCGGCGTGGCCATCCCCCCTGGGGGGTGATTTCTCGCTTTCTGTCTCTCTGACGAGTGCACGTGCCCTGTAGCAAAAAAAACCTCTCCAAAAAATAAATAAATAAAAGACAGGTATGTTTGTGAGAGAGCACCTTTCGAGGTAAAATGTCCATGCTGCAATCATTTTTCATCCATTCTACTCTAGGGTTTTGGGCACACATGCATGCGTGCCTGGTGCATTTTTTAAGCCAATGAGTCTGGGACTCAAACCACCCACTCAGCCATGTGGGATCCATCCACCTTTACCACCATGCCACAACTGATCCCTTATGCATGCCTTTGTATATACATGTATCAGTGTATCACTAGGAGAGATATCAATAGGTGAAATTGCTAGGTCAAAGGGTATAAACATGTAAAACCTAAAGACTAATGTTTTATTGTCTCCCAAATGCCTTTCCAATATATATGTTTGAAATTGAATACACACACACACATATATATGTGTGTATGTATATATGTGATGTATCCTTTGCCAATATTGGATGTTATTAGTCTTTTTATTTTTCTCCCGAATTAATAGGCCAAGAACTAGTGTCCTATTGTTACATTGCATTTTCTTAATTAGAACCTGAGATTGATTAATTTCTTATATGTATATAAGTAAGGCATTTATGTTTGTTCTGTGGATTGTCTTTTCATATTTTTATTTTATTTATTTTATTTATTTTTTTTTTTTGAAAGGTTTTCGCTATAGGGCGCGTGCGCTCGCCAGACAGAAAGCGAGAAATCACCCCCCAGTAGGGATGGTCACGCCGCAATCCCTTCTCCATTCTCCTCTCGGGATCTTGGGCATGCACGCACACGCGCCCGGCGTGAGTTTTAAGCCACCGGGTCTGGGACGCGAACCATGATCAACTACGTGGGAGTCCAGCGACATAGCCATTATGCTAACTGCTGGTTCCCCATATATTTTATTTTTTTAAATTTTAAACTAATTTGTAGGTTTTTTCTCCCAAATGTATATTGAGTATTAATTGCTTATTAGATATATGGGTTTATAATCCTGTCTTTTATATTTGTTTATAGTATATGTTATAGCACCTTTGGTTTATTTATTTATTTATTTATTTATTCATCCCATGAATGAGGAAGGAATGAAGGGAGGGAGGGATATATATATAATATATATCATATATAATGTGTCAATATATTAATGCCATTATCCACCCCCTAGTCTCATCCAGCCCATAACATGGGCACACACATACCCAGGATAATCAGAGGTTTCCAGACATGAGCCAGTAACTGTCCCATGTGACTGCCTCACAAATCATCACTTTTTTTTTTTTTCGGAGAGGTTTTTGCTATAGGGCACGTGTACTCACCAGACACAGGGAGACAGAGAGACAGAAAGCAAGAAATCACCGCCCGGGGGGATGGCCACGCCGCAATCCCTTCTCCTCCATTCTCCTCTCGGGATCTTGAGCCCATACACACACATGCCTGGCGTGTGTTTAAGCCACCGGATCCAGGACTTGAACCACGGTCAACTATGTGGGAGTCCAGCGACATAGACATTACGCTAACTGCTGGTCCCTGAGTTTTATTCTTTAATGTGGATAGGAAACTGCCTAGATCCAGCTATTTCTTTGCACAGCTATAATCCTTAGGGATCCCTTTTTCACTTTCCTGGGAAGATCTTTCTTCTCATCTTTCTTAGGTTTGTTACTTGTTTTTTCATTTTTAATCCTATATTTACCTGTTTCCTGGCTATGTCATCTAATACCTGTTTCTATTTTTACTGTGATTATGATAAACTATAAAAATAATTTAGGAAGGTTTTTGCATCTCTAGAACATTCCCATTTATAAGAAAATGGCTAATTTTCTGTTACTCAAATAAAAAGTTGGATCTTGCAAGAATATTTTGAAGATTTTCTAATAATTTTGTGCCTTTTTTTGTTTGTTTTTGTTTTTGTTTTATAGAGATTTTTGCCTTAGAGTGCATGCTCATGGTGGGGTGGGGAGGAGAGGGAGAGAGAGAGAGACAATGGAGAGGGAATGTGAGAAACTACCCCCAAGTGGGGATGGCTACGCCACAATCCCTTCTCCTTTTTTCTCCTCTCGGGATCTTAGGCATGCACACCCATGCGCCCAGAGCAAGTTTCAAGCCACCAAGACCAGGAATCAAACTGCAGTTGGCCATATGGGAGTCCAGTGACATAACTACTATGCTATCTCCTGGCTCCATTTTTGTGCATTTGTTGTAAAGTGTAATCCTAGGCATTACATCTTTTTGGTTGTTTCTTTTCATGATATAATCTGACTGCTTTTCTATTTTCATTATATAATCTAATTATTTTTATACATGTAAATATGTTAAAATATGTATTTAAATGTATAAGTATAAATGATTTAATATGTGTATATATGTTTCTCCATTAGGTAACACTGCATTTTAGGCTGTTTATATGGTCATATATGTATATGTAATGATACAGTCTTAGCATAGCTATATATCCTAACACTTTAGTTTATAACATGAGTACTTTATAAACTTAATACTATATAATTGGTTTATATAGTATTAAATGTCCATGATTTCTGTTAATACCAACTTTTATGTAAGCTTAAATAGAGTTCTAATTGTTAAAATCACCATGTTCGACTAATAGGGATTTGGAAAATATAGTAAATTCATGATTGTAGTGTGAACTATAAGTGGGAAGGCATATTCAGGAGGTTCTTAAATATCAGACTTGTAAGCCACATTGGTTAACTTGGACCCAAAAAGACATTTGAGCAATTTAGAAGAAAAACAATATAGAAGAGAGAATTAATTTCACAATATAAAGGAAAGAGAATTTTCAATATTTAGCATGAGTTGACTTTTTAAATGATACTTTTTTCCTTTTCTCTGCTTAGGAAATTGAACTTAGCTCATTAAAAGAAGCTTTGTCTTTTGTGTCATTAATTGATGGATATTATAGATTAACAGCAGATGCACATCATTATCTCTGTAAAGAAGTAGCACCTCCAACAGTACTTGAAAATATACAAAGCAACTGTCATGGCCCAATTTCGTGAGTATAATATAATAAACTTTACAAAATCTTGCCAGAGTTCGTGTATGCTTGGAAAAGAAAAAGACAGAGAGAGAGAGAGAAAGGAAGAAAACAGCCCCCCAATAGGGCATGATCATGCTACAGTCACTCTCTATTTCTCTATCCTATCAAGATTTGAGGCATGCACATAGACACACCCAGAGAGAGAGAGAGAGAGATAGGGGAAGGGAGCAAACAGCCCCTCAATGTGGTCATGGCCACAATCTCTTCTCTACTTCTCTCTTCTATCAGGATTTGAGGAATGCACGTACACACACCCAGCATGTTTTTCAAGCTCTGAGCGCTGGGATTTGAACCATGTGGTCAGCCATGTGGGTTCTAGCTCCCTTAATCACTAGATCTTAGGCCTGTCTGAATAATACAGATTTCTTAAGTATATTTTTTTTAGGAAGTAAATGATATATTTACAAAGAAGATTTTATACAACAGAGTGATGTAGGTTTAGGAGTTTAGGGGGAAAATCTCAATTTGAAGTTTTAACTTTTTTAACAAAAGTCTATTTGCAGTCAAATGACATAATAAGTAGAATTTTTGAGGATCTAACTTACCATCTTTGTCCCAATCTATAATACTTAAAACTTACGTAAGTTTAATATTTAGTTTTCTATATGTGTTTAACTCTTGGGTGTTACTTAAAAACACGACCTCCAATTTACGTTTTATTAGTTTGTAATACTGCAGAAGAACCATGTCATAATCATTTTTGGATACTCCATCTCCTTTTATTAAAAGCTTCAAACATATGCTGTATATGATGTCCATATTTCTTTTTTTCTTTCTTTCTTTTTTTTTTTGGAGAGATTTTTTGCTATAGGGTGCGTGTGCTCGCCAGAAAGACAGAGAGAGACACAGAGATAGAAAGCAAGAAATCACCCCTCTGGGGGGATGGCCACACCCACAATCCCTTCTCCTCCATTCTCCTCTCAGGATCTTGGGCATGCACGCACATGCACCTGGTGTGAGCTTAAGCCACCAGGTCCAGGAGTCGAACCATGGTCGGCTACATGGGAGTTCAGCGACATAGCCATTATGCTAACTGCTGGTTCTTGATGTCCATATTTCAATCTAGTACTGTACAGTAGAATATTCTACAATGGTGGACATGTTCTGTATCTGGTCTATTTAAACAGTGGCCACTAGCTACATATAACTATTTAGCATTTGAAAGGTGGTTAGAGAAATGGAGAAAATAAATTTTAAAAATCTAATTTGTTTTCATTTGTTGTCATTTAAGTAGCTATATGTGGCTAATATTTTCCATATTGACCCATAAACAATTGTATAACATCTTTGTAGCCTAATCTCTCAGCTACCGTGTGCTTTAATTGATACCAGTTTGAAGAATATGAGAGGAAATATCTGAGATTGTGAACATATGTTTCTTATACTTATTCCACCTCTAAATATTTGAGAAACACTACCATGGGTGATATTTAAGGCTTCATTCATTTTATGCTTAAAGTCTACTTAGTAGTAAGTTTGATTGTTATGAAATAGCTGCACTACTTTAACATTATGTCTATAATTTACATGTTCAGTATTAGAATTCCTACCTTCATTAGTCCATTTACTTGTCCAGTTATTCAAGTGTTCTCATTTATTTATAGAATATTTACTGATTTACTACTTATCGTGGGCAAGCACTGATTGATGTATAAAAAATATGTTGATAAGTGAAACAGAAATAGTTCTTGCTTTCATATAAATTATGATTTGCTTTCTTTTCAAGATGTGAAATTTCAAAAAGTTGTCATGGATCTTCTGTTAGACATTGGTATTGTACTAAATATCAAAATAATGAACATTGATTTTTATATTAGTAATTGGTGTTGCTTGTATAGAAGAGACATAATATAGAAGAGACATAAAAATAATTTAAAAATTTTTTTAAATAAAATAGAAAAAAGAGAGAGAAATAAGTATTTTTTAGGGACAAGCAAGTGTATGGTGGTTAAAGTCAGCTGGACTGTCATGTGGCTGACTGCAGTACAAGTCCTGGACCTGGGAGCTTGAAAATTACACCAGGCACATGTGCTTGCATGTTCAAAAATTGTTGGAGGAAAATAGAGGAGGGGGACTGTAGTGTGTCCATCCCCCCAGGGGATGATTTCTCATTTTCCCTGCTGTCTCCCTTTCTTCAATGAGTACATGTGCCCTATGGCAAAAAAGTGTTTTGGGATGTATTATGTATATAGTTAAAGTTTTATGAGAGTGAATGTGGTCCTTAAAATACTATATTTGTGGGACCAGTAGGTGGCATAGTGATTGAGGCATTGGTACACACCTTATAGAAAAATTATCTCTTAAAAAAATACTATATTTATGAAAAGCAGAACATTCAAATGAATCTTTTTTCATGGTTTTGCTTCATAATGCTGTCTTTTATGCATTTTTTTGAGAGATTTTTCACTGTAGGGCGCGTGCGCTCGCCAGACAGACAGAGAGAGACATAGAGACAGAAAGCGAGAAATCATCCCCCAGGGTGGATGGTCACGCCGCCATCCCTTCTCCTCCTCCATTCTCCTCTCGGGATCTTGGGCACGCACGCACACGCACCCGGCGTGAGTTTTAAGCCACCGGGTCCAGGACGTGAACCGCGGTCGACTACATGGGAGTCCAGTGACATAGCCATTACGTTAACTGCTGGTTCCCTCTTTTATGCATTTTTAAAACAATGTAATAGCCTCTTGAATTGGTTTGAACTTGCTGCAAGTAGCATAGCACTTTTTTTTTTTCCTTGAAAATATATTGCTAAACATATAAAGGGAATTTTTCTTTTTTTAAAGAGAAAGTTTTGCTATAGGGTATGTGTGCTTTCCAGAGAGACAGAGAAACAAAGTGAGAGATCACCCCTGGGGGGATGGCCATACTGCAATCCCTTCTCCTCCATACTCCTCTCAGGATTTTGGGCATGCATGCACACGCACCCGGCATGAGTTTTAAGCCTCTGGGTCCAAGATTTGAACTGTAGTTAACTATGTGAGAGTCCAGCAATGTAATCATTACGCCACCTGCCGATCCCAAAATAAAAGGAATTTTTTTAAAAGCCTGAGAATTTTAGATTTGACTTTAAATTTTTCTAGATGATAGTCTTACTGCAATAGTCTTGCTATGTTGTCATTTAAATTCTTCTTCTTTACCTTTAGAATGGATTTTGCGATCAGTAAATTGAAGAAAGCAGGTAATCAGACTGGACTGTATGTTCTTCGATGTAGTCCTAAGGACTTTAATAAGTATTTTCTGACTTTTGCTGTTGAGGTTAGTATGTCATATTTATTCATGTTAATATTATTTAGGCCATGTAATTTCCCCTGCATATTTATCTAGTGGATTTCCTGTAATGTTGAAAATTACAACTTTGGATAGGCTAACTAGCTTAATAATGCTTAGTTTACCACAGGGATTCTATACAGTTAAACAAGATATAACTCCTAGGGTTTTCACAGAAATATAAAATTTAGAATGTTTTGTGGTTTTATTTGCTATGTGTTTTTGGTTTTAGAATGTTGCTGTCATCAGTGTGTCAGATGGTATTTTACCAAATCCCTTGAAGTCTCTTTTATTCCCAAAATGAAAATCCTTACCAAGTCATGTAGAACAAAATGAATCAGAAGCAATTTTTTTTGTTTTCTACCAATGGCTACAGAATTAGGGCAAAGTAGGGTGGTAACAAAGAAACAGAGACACAGTACATTTAAAGCTGTTTTCTAATATTAAAAATAGTGATCTGTAATGTGTTTTTTGAGTATGAAATCACAATAGAACTTCACTATTAATACAGATCATCCTGGATTTCCTTTAAGATTATTTACTATATAAAATTTTCTAAAAAGATAATATTATTCATATCATTTCATGGTATAAATCTTGAGAAGCTTAATAGCAGCTTATAAATTTATCTTACCTTTTGAAAACAAATATTTTGTTTAAATTTATATAAAATTTATTATCTGATCTTTGGCTATATGAAAGATATTTTTGGAGTAGGAAGGACTTGAGGTTGCCTTGAGGTATTAGTAGATTTTATATAAATGGTTCTATGTAGGATGACTGTGAAAAGCAGCTCAAGAAATAGATGAATGAACAAGTTCATGGTACAATGTGTAAGACATTAAGGAACCACAACATTTTTTGAAGTTCTGTAGTAGAGATACTTAAACAAGGATAATAGTGGCACAAAGGAATGGTTGTTTATCTGCTTATGCAATGGAGTTAAGTGTTGTTTGAGAGGATCACAGAGAAAAAGTGACATTTGAATTGAGTTTCAAAGAATGAATAGAAATATATTGCTCAGAGGGAGTGTGTGTACATTCATAGGTAGAGTGTATGAAACAGTTTTCAACACATGAAACAGTAGGGCATTTCCTTGAAACTCATTAAACCATTTAACATGGTTGTAGGTTGGAAGTGGCAGGGGGCGCAATGGGTGGGAGGGGACGGGAGCCACAATTTGAGTTAGAGGCAGAAACCACCTCATGGAAGACCCTATATGCTACTCTAGTTTTAGACTTTATCTTATAAATGATAAAGATGGTATTGTTAATTATCATTGCTTTCTTTTTTTCTTCTTCTTTTGGAGAGGTTTTTGCTATAGGGCACGTGCGCTCGCCAGACAGACAGAGACAGACAGAGAGATAGAAAGTGAGAAATCACCCCCCAGGGGGGATGGCCATGCCGCAATCCCTTCTCCTCCACTCTCCTCTCGGGATCTTGGGCACGCACGCACATGCGCCTGGTGTGAGTTTTAAGCCATCGGGTCCAGGACTCGAACCGCGGTCGACTATGTGGGAGTCCAGCAACATAGCCATTACGCTAACTGCTGGTCCCTTATCATTGCTTTCTTAATTGCTTTTTAATAAAATCAACTCTCAAGCCATTTCTGTGAGCTACAAAACTGTAGATGCCTTGTTGAGGAATCAAGTTATGATTCATGCTTCAAGTGTCTAAATATTCTGCTGGTTGTTTTTGTGTTATCCATTTTGTCAGAATAATCACTATGATGTCCATTTTGATATTTCCTTCTCTTTGTAATTAAACTTATATAGCGAGAAAATGTCATTGAATATAAACATTGTTTGATTACAAAAAACGAGAAAGGAGAGTACAACCTCAGTGGGACTAAGAAGAACTTTAATAATCTTAAGGATCTTTTGAATTGTTACCAGATGGAAACTGTTCGCTCAGACAGTATCATTTTTCAGTTTACTAAATGCTGTCCCCCAAAGCCAAAAGGTAAAATAATTTTCCTGTTATTTCAAAAATACAGATTATGGATCGTGTTTGTAGTAGAAGATTATCTTTAGCATATTGATTTCAAAAGAAATATGAAAGAAACAGCTCCAGAAACTAACTAATTTTGTCTCATTCTGTTGTTATAAGCATCATCAGATAGTATTGTTCAGTTTGGTTTGATTTGTCTAGAAGCGACTTGAAATTATATTATCCTAAAATGGCATTTTAGAGAGAGTAATTGCTTATGAATCAGTCACCTATTTACTGAACTTGAAGTCCTTACTACCAAGTGTTATTATGTTGTTTCAAATAAAAACTTTCATACTCTTTTAGGATTTTAAAATCTGTATTTTTAAAAATAAGGATACTAAGGTTGGAAATTTCTTGAAATAATAAGTCATTAAAAATTATTAAAATTCTTAGAAGTTTGTGAATTAAGGAAGTGATTATGATTTTGAATATATAAAATAGCTGAGAAGAAAACATCAAAGTTCAATGGATAAACCTTTAAAATAATTTTCTATAAAATGAACGATAAACAGTTATTAAGCATTTTTTATATACAGAACACATTTCATTTGACTCATCTTTGGAGAGATTTTTATCTTCAGTGTGTTTTGATGCTCCCCACACAGACATACATACACCACACACATATGTATTTTATTTTGTTTGTTTATTTTTTTCAGATAAATCAAACCTTCTGGTCTTCAGAACCAATAGTGTTTCTGATGTACCAACTTCACCAACATTACAGAGGCATAATAATGTGAACCAAATGGTGTTTCACAAAATCAGAAATGAAGATTTAATATTTGTAAGTCATTAGATGCCGATTATGATTATTTTTGTCATTTTAACATAACATCTATTTTCTCGATTTCCTATCCCATATTACATTCATGAAACATTTGTAACTATTGGATCATTAGATAAGTCATGACTTTTTTTTTAATGTTTTTCTATGTAAAAATGTGTCATGACTTTCTGATGACCCAGTATTTTGTTATAAACCTGTATTATAAAAGTTAAGTTGCCATTTAAATACCTTTATTTCTTATGGAAAATATACCAACATTTTGTTATAGATTGGAGAAATTATTTTAAGAATGAAATAATATACTCTTTCCAGAAATTTAAATTTGTTTGTAAATCTTAAGAATTTAAAAATATTTTCATACAAACTGTCAAGTTCTCAAGAACGTAAAGAATTCAAGAGGTTAAAAAAAATTAAGAACTCAAAACAATATAGTGCATAAGAGCCGGTGATTTCGCTTAGTGGTGATAGAAGGTGGGGATTATTCTCACTTGTCAGGGAGTTAAGATTTAAAAGCAATACAGAAAAGAGGGCCAGGTCATAGGCTTATGCAAGGCAGGAGTTAAAATAAAATCATCTCTGAATAAAACCAGGACCTGAAGTGAATACATTCTCAGTAAAACAATATATGGAATATAAAAAATTCGCCCATTGGTAAAAGGGAAGAAAAAGGTCACTGTCTGTTTTACTTGGGCTCTTAGTGAGGAAGAGTCTCTCCTAAGAATTTGTAAGTATAGGGGCCAGCAGGTGGTATAGTGGTTAAGGCACTGGACTCCCACATGGCCTGGAGGCTTGCTTTCTCACTTTCTCTCTCTCTCTCTCTCTCTCTCTCTCTCTCTCATGCATTGTGTCCTGTAGCAAAAAAATTTAAATAATGATAATAATAAAAGATAAAATTAAATAAATAATTCTTTAAAAAAAAGAATGTATAAGTATAAGCTTTTAAGTTTTGGTTTATTTATACTACTTGACTAATCTAAAAAACCCTAAGCTAATAAATTAATAAGTGATATTGAACAAAAATCCTGTGGTAATTAGAAATATGAATGCAAAATCTTGGAAGAACATACTCTTAGAGTAAGCCACACAGGATTACTGCATTTAAAACCACTCCAAACATGAGTTTTTATTGAAAATTTAGAAACATACAGGGAAATAATCCAGAATTAAGCAAGAGTCAATATATTAACAAATAGCAAAGTTAGATCTCTAAGAACTTTGTATAACAGAGTTTTCCAATAGAAAGTATCATATTCATATACACATCTGTAAAGATAAAAAAGAGTTTGAAAACAAGAGAAAATAACAAGGTATTTTTTTAAAGAATTGTTTTATTTACTTAATTTTATTTTTTATTATTATTTCTTAATCTCACCAGAGAGAGACAGGGAGAAAGAAATGGAAATTATGAAAGACAGATTAAGGGATGTGAATGGTAGACCAGTTAATGTCTGAGTTCCATAAGGGAAGCAATAGATATAATTATTCATAATTATAGAAGATATGAATTCTCATATGACTAACAAAAGTACAGAGTGGCCAGGCAGCTTGACTAACATAACAAAACTAGTAAGTGGTAGAGTTTGTGTTTCTAGGCAGCACTGCTTCAGAGTACAGTCTTCCAACAATTATTCTGTAAGCATATCTAAGAAATACTAGTACTAGTGTTCATAATAGCAAGTACTTAATGTGCATTTACTGTAGATCGTGCACTGTACCAGGTGATTCAGTATATTTTTTCACTTACTGTTCTTGTCAGTCCTGTGGGGGAAAATAGTTATTCTCATTCCTCAGATGAAGGGGCCAAGACAACTGCAGCACAGAGATTAAATAGCCTGTACAAAGTCACACAGCTAGTATGTGATGATAAGGAACAGGATCTGTTCTGCCTCCACAGATCACGGATCTCTGCACTTCCTTTCTATCACGTTAGTAGGAAAGGCAAATGAAGAAAAGGTTTCACATGTAAATAATGTAGGTATAAATACTGACTCTGAAAAAAGTGATAAAGCCACTTTCATAGTTAAAAAACAGGATTGAGCCAAAATAGATTTTATTTATTAATTCTTGTTTTCTGTCTTTTATTACTATTTAAGGAAGCTGAATAAAAGAATTAATTTGGAATCTCAAATCTGAGTTTGTTTTTAAGGAAAATACTTGTTCATGGATTTTTAAAAATTCTTTGTCATTGAACATATCTCTTAATTTCCACATCTGTATCTTTACTAATTTTTATCTTACCTGTTTTTCTTTTTAAAGAATGAAAGCCTTGGCCAAGGCACTTTTACAAAAATTTTTAAAGGTGTAAGAAGAGAAGTAGGAGACTATGGTCAACTACATGAAACAGAGGTTCTTTTGAAAGTTTTGGATAAAGCACATAGAAACTATTCAGAGGTGCGTATATTCCTTATGTGATTCCTGCAGTTTATGCTAATTGAAAATGTGCTCTTACATACATATATCATTCATGCATGCAGATTTTCAAATTTTTTATTTCAAATATATATGAGTGTGTGTATATATATCTTTTTAATTGCTTCAGGGCTCGTGTGCTTGCCAGACAGTCAGAAAGTGAGAAATCATCCCCTAGGGGATGGCCACATCACAGTCCCTTCTCTAGTCTCCTCTTGGGATCTTGGGCATGCACGCTCATGCACCAGAGTGAGTTAAAAGCCACTGGGTCCAGGACTCAAACCATGGTCAACTACATGGGAGTCCTGCGACATAACCATTATGGCATCTGCTGGTCCTCCAAATTGTTACTTTTAAAAGTGTACATATCAAGAATCTTTGTAAGCATTCATTCTGTTGGGACTGTAAAAATATCATATTAGGTTGTCAGGAAGTCATGATGTATTTTTGCATAGTTAAGCATAGAAAAATATGTCATGATTTTCCTGACACCCTGATAGAATTTTAAAAATAGCAAATACTTACAAACTTACTTCTAGCATTGTGTTGTGAGTGTCACTACATATCTGCATATACTGAGACAGTAGTTTTCAAACTTGGTTCCCAAGGGCTTTATGAGTTCCATGGAGGTTCTTCAACTATTTCACCTACTTAAAAAAAAAAAAGTTTGAAGGGCGTTGTACTAAGGAACACACTGAGTGAAATATGCAAACCTCTGGGTCTCATACAGACAGGCTATCTGACAGAAACCCAGTCGCCAGTTGCCAGAGTGCTGAACATTGCATGACATCACCAAACATGACAAAATATTTATGTATGTATTTAGACTATCCTAAAGGATGTTGGAGGAAGGTGTGAAACATACCCAAAGAGTTCTTCTAATTCAGAACTCCACAATGTTGGTAATTGTTAATCCTCTGAACAACGATATCCACAAGTTCTAGTCAAAGTTTAGTTGAGTTAGGGTGATGTTAATACCATGCCAGTGTCTTGACATAGGTATCGTGGTACTTTTTTTTTTTTTTTGAGAGATTTTTTTTTTTTTCGCTATAGGGCACATGCGCTCGCCAGACAGACAGAGAGAGACATAAAGACAGAAAGCGAGAAATCACCCCCCAGGGAGGATGGTCATGCCGCAATCCCTTCTTCTCCGTTCTCCTCTCGGGATCTTGGGCACGCACGCACATGCGCCCGGAGTGAGTTTTAAGCCACCAGGTCCGGGACGCAACGACTACGCAGTCGACTACGTGGGAGTCCAGCGACATAGCCATTACGCTAACTGCTGGTTCCCTCGTGGTACTTTTTATGCACAAAGACCTCATAAGGTTTTAGGCAGTATTATTTAAAGTTTATATTCATTATCTGAGTCCTAAATCATAATATCTGTTGTGTACCTCTAGGTGTTACCTCTGTTTTCTATTCTAGGTAATATGGTCTAAGCGTGTTTGGCTAGCAGCATTCGTGGTGCCCTGGATCATTTTTGCTCTCTCTCATTGCTATTTCCATCCAGGCTTATTCAGGGGTTTGCTCAGAATGAACCCTAACATCGAGGTTGTTGACAGTTCAAAGTCCATATAAGGGAACCAAAGCACATAAGGACTTTAACTGTAGTTCTGCTGAGAGTAGAAGAAAGTGCCTATCTCTATGGCAGAGAGTATCTTTCTGAACTATGAATAGTTACAGACTATGATTAGACAATAATTCTTCTAGATTTTTTGTTTTTCTCTTTTTTAGTCTTTCTTTGAAGCAGCAAGCATGATGAGCCAGCTTTCTCACAAGCATTTGGTTTTAAATTACGGAGTATGTGTCTGTGGAGAGGAAAGTAAGTAAGACCACTACTTTCTATACAAATGCCATGTCTTTCTCAGAGAATCCATTATTATTTATATAGAAAATTCAATTTCAGGATCTTAGTTAACTATCAGTATACATAATATTTTGACAGATGTTAAGCATTGTTGAAACTGAAATTTGCAGGAATGTCTAGTTATGTCTTATAAGAAAGGAAACCAATTAATGAAGTTAAAGTACAGAAGATATTTCATGTGCTTTGTGTTACAGTGCCCCAATGATAGAGTATTACATTATAGCAAATAAATGGAATTTATGCATTATAACAAATAAACTTATACATTATAACAAATAAATGGAATTTATATATTATAGAGATAACTGTCTCCCCACCTGTGTTTACCATAGCAATACAGATTTAGCAATACAGATTATAACTCATTCAGCATAATACTGGAAAATTTGCCTTTTCAGTACAAATACATTTGGAATTATGAACACAAACTATGCAGTAAGAGAATTCTGCCTGTTCACCTCTAGCCAAAGCAGTTCTGCCTTCTCCTCTCTATTTAATGATGTTTCTCAACCTGACAGAGCTGGGAATTTTCATGTGTCTCACAAGCAGCCCGGATTGTTTGGGGAAGCAAATACCTGTTTCTCTGGCAAAAGATGTCTTAAATACTATTTTAAAAATACAGTTTTAAAGATAAGAGAGTGTAAAACATTTGTTTTTCCTATTTGACTGCATAAATGAAAAAGATAAATCGAGTCAGAATTAAAATTCTCTTCTTTATGTTTAATGGAATAGACATTACTGGGGCCAGCCAAGTGACACAATGGTTAAGGCTGCTGGATCCTACATGACTGACTGTGACTTGAGTCCCAGACCCTGCGGCTTGGAAAATATGCCAGGCACATGTGTATGTGTGCCCCAAATCCCAAGAGGAGAATGGAAGAGAAGGAACTGCAGAATAGGCATCCCCTCTGGGGGATAATTTCTCACTTTTCCTTTCTTAATGTCTCTGTCTAGCAGGCACACACACCCTATAGCAAAAGTGAAAAAGCAAAAGAGAAAAAGAAAAAAGTGAAAAAAGAAAACTTCAGGAATATTTGATTATCTAATTAGTTTTGTAGAAGAAAAATTAACTATGTAAAATTTATTTTTTTTTAAAAGCAGTCATAATTCACTAGTAACATAGAAATTGGCTGGGGTGAGATACATATTACATTATATTGATTGATACAAGAACTCCTCACTTAAGGACTGAGTTTTGTTCCTATGAGTATAAGCAAGTCAGTCAATAAGCAAGGCATTTAAAGGAGGTTGTCTTGTGGTGTGTCATGGTGCCAAAGGGCATGGTGCCAAAGGGTATTTTTTGATAGGTACCATGTAACACAAAACTAGAATAATGTAATTCTATCCCTACTAAAACCATACATTAGGTGCCAGAGAGTGATAAGACATACCACAATAATATAAATCTAGAATGTTTTTAGTTATTCTGAATACTACTGTGGGTGCACAATAAAGTACAAATTTATAAATAAAATGTATAGTATAGCATGACTGTGAATACTTTGTATAGTAAATACAGAAGAACTGCAAGAAGGAGACAAAAACTGAGAAAGGGGCTCTCAAAACTCATACAGACAAAGAAAGGGTATTCCCTCTTGAACTGAGTTTGGCCATGTGAGAGTCTAGCAATGTTACCCCTAAACCATCCACACTGGTCTCTATACCTTTATTTTAATGATTATTTTCTTATGTATTTGTCCTATTTTACATATAATTATATGTAATATGCAATTATATATATATATATATATATATTATGACTTTCTTTAAATTAATCAGTTTTGCTTATTTAACTTAATTTCTTTACCTACAATACCTATATAACTATAAATATATGAAAGTTTACATCGTATATTTTAACACATTTACAGACTTGAACCTTATTATTATGACTTATATTTTACTCCAGATATTCTGGTTCAGGAGTTTGTAAAATTTGGATCACTAGATACGTATCTGAAAAAAAATAAAAATTCTATAAATATATTATGGAAACTTGAAGTAGCTAAACAGTTGGCATGGGCCATGCATTTTCTGGTAAGTAATTATTATATTCCTTTTATCAAAACTTACTGCATTATCTTATGAAGCATTATAGAAATTATCTTGACCTGAGAACAAGAAATAAAGCTGTAAATGAGTGCTCAGTCATTTAAAACAATCTGTTAGCTGGTGAAAGGGATTATTATAGGCAGATATTTTTTATGTAATACTACTTTGGAAAGAAACAGTTATGCTATGCAGTCAATCTCTTAGAACTACTAATGAACAATCTGTAGTTTGTGTCACTTGGATTTAGAAATTTTAATCAAAAATGATGCAAAAATTGTGTTAATAGCAGAAAAAATACCTAGTAACGGTATTTGTGAGCCACTGGATGTTATGTTCAGTGTGGAAGTGGTGTTGATGGAGACGCAGAATGCCAGAGGGCTAGCCAGTGATCGGACTTCAGAACGCACCTATGCCTTACTGCTAACCTGAAACCATGTTTCTTAATGTTATCTACCTTCTAGAAATATACACTATTTAGAACCTCAGCTTCAGAATGTGAAGTGACACTGGATGTCACTTTGTTTTATCATGGTAAGGGTTATTGTGTCATTGAAAATGTAAAACAGTAACCAACCCCGTAGCCTAGTGGTTAAAAGGAACTGGATCCACATGACCAACTGCAGTATGATTACTGGCCTCAGTGACTTAAAAAATATGCCAGCATGTATACATGCATGTCAAAATCCCAACAAGATGGAGGAATGGAGGGAAAAGGATTGCACATGATTATAACCCCTTGAGGAGTGTGTTCTCCCTCACGGTCTCTCACTGGTGAAATGCATACACCTCTGGCAATTAATAAAAAGTAAATGTAAGACAGGAGGGATATTACTGGCCTCAGTGACTTAAAAAATATGCCAGCATGTATACATGCATGTCAAAATCCCAACAAGATGGAGGAATGGAGGGAAAAGGATTGCACATGATTATAACCCCTTGAGGAGTGTGTTCTCCCTCACGGTCTCTCACTGGTGAAATGCATACACCTCTGGCAATTAATAAAAAGTAAATGTAAGACAGGAGGGATAGTTAGTCACTGGCAATTAATAAAAAGTAAATGTAAGACAGTAGGGTTAGTCATAAAATTTCCTTCTCTTATTATCTCAGAGCATGTCTTTAAATTAATATTTATTATACTCTTATTTTTATTATTTAAATTTACTTTGGGGTATTGAACATTTTAAATGCTCAAAAATTTGTGAATTGATATTTGAATGTATGTGTATTTAACTTTTAATAGGAAGAAAAAACCCTTATTCATGGGAATGTGTGTGCCAAAAATATTCTACTTATCAGAGAAGAGGACAGGAAGACAGGAAATCCTCCTTTCATCAAGCTTAGTGATCCTGGTATTAGTATTACAGTTTTGCCAAAGGACAGTAAGTTCTCCAGAGATTGGTTTTAACTTTATTAAACTTTATTTGAATAATAACATAAAAAACATGCTATATAATAATAATAACATAAAAAGCACGTTATTTATGTCTTTATTGAAATATTCTTGATTAATAAGCAAATTTAGCTATCACTGTTAGCAGTTTAAATTGTTAGTTACATCTTTGTCTCCATCCATTCGTTCTTTCTTAAAGCATGTCACCATGGACTGTAAAATAATTTTTCAAAAAACAGTTTTAATCTCCAATTATGTATTGAACATAGAATTTTACTCACTTTTTAAAGTTAATTTTAAAATATTCTTTGAACAAGTAAATTTTCTAAAATTTTCTTTCTCCTAGTCACTAAATACACATTGAGAAGGTATATGATCTATTAGGTTGTCAGAAAAGTCATGATGTATTTTTTCAAAGGTCATTTATTTACATAAAAAGTAAATATCATGGGACCAGCAGATGGTGTAATGGCTACATCGCTGGACTCCCATGTAGTCGACCCCAGTTCGAGTCCCAGACCCGGTGGCTTAAACTCACACCAGGCTCGTGTGTGTGCGTGCCCAAGATCCCAAGAGGAGAAGGGATTGCAGCATGGCCATCCCCCGTGGGTGTGAGTGATTTCTCGCTTTCTGTCTCTCTGTCTCTCTTTGTCTTTCTGGCGAGCACACGCACTCTATAGCAAAATCCTCTCCCCCTCCCCCCCAAAAAAAGAAAAGAAAAGAAACACAAAGATCAGTCAGTGATATATTGCTCATTTTGTTTGGTAACCTTTTGCCACCTTTCAGCAAGCTTCATATTCCTCATCCATAGAAGGACCTGTCTTTATCAGCAAAAAGCTGAACAAGGTGCTAATTTATAGCTTCATCTGAATTGAACATTATACCATGCAAGGAGTTTTGAAGAGAGTGAAACAAGTGGAAGTCTGACAGTGCATAACCTTTCTCTGATGCATGTCTGCTTTTGATGTTGCTCTTCTCATCACCAGTTAGCAGTTACCTCAAAAAAGAATTGTTTTCCTCATGTTCAATGAGCATATCACAGCTGTTTATATGGGCCATCAGAGGAGCTTCTTTGAGTTCATGAGGAACCCAAATATCGAGCTTGCTTGCATATCCCAGCTTCAAGTGGTTGTAAACACTTGAATGATGGGCGTTCAATGTTTCTGTCATTTTTCATGTAGTTCGAAAGGTTAGGTTTGACACAGTCAATGCCTTTATATTGTTGCCATCAACCCTGACTGAGGAGCATCATTGAGATCAACATCACCAGCACGGAATTGCATTAACCATCATTGGCACTGACGTTCTTATAGAGCATTTTCACTGTAAGCTTGTTCACAGGCTTGCCATGCACTCTGTTCTTGCAGAAGTAAAACAGTAAAATATGGTGAAAATGCACAGTTTGATCTTCCATCTTCAACTTGTAAAATTTCCAAAACCCAGCCAAATTGCTTAATGTTTTTAGAATAAAGCTAGAACTGTCAGCTGTCAAATGACAGCAGTAATGTAGCTGTGAATGACTCTAGTACTTCCAGAAATGAACTAGTGCATCTGTTGCAAAATGACGTCATGGCTTTTCTGTCAATCCAGTAGCTTCAGATCTCAGTTTCATTCAGATAATTCTGACTGGTTTTTTTTTCGGGTGCGGGGGGTTGCAATAGGGCACTTGCACTTGCCAGAAAGACAGAGACAGACAGGAAGTGAGTAATCACCCCCCAGGGGGGATAGCGACACTGCAATCCCTTCTCCTCCACTGTCCTCTTGGGATCTTGGGCACACACGCACGCACACGCCCTCGGCGTGAGTTTAAGCCACCTAGTCTGGGACTCAAACCATGGTCGACTACATGGGAGTCTAGCGACATAGCCATTATGCCAACTGCTGGTCCCAGATAATTCTGACTTTTAAAAAATATTTTGGGGCCAGCACGTGGCATATGGTTAAGGTGCTGGACTCCCACATGGCCGACAGTAGTTCAAGTCCCAGACCCAGAGGCTTGAAACTCATGCCAGGCGTGTGTGTGTGTGTGTGTGTGTGTGTGCCTAAAATTCCCAAGAGGAGAATAGAGGAGAAAGGATTGCAGTGTGACCATCCGCCTAGGTGGTGATTTCTCATTTTTCATCTCTCTCTCTCTTTCTCTCTCTCTCTCTCTTTCTCTCTCTCAGTCTCTCCCTGGCAAGTGCACACACCCTGTGCCAAAAATCTCTCTAAAAACAAAACAAAAACACATACTCCTTTGTGTCTCAATTTAACACAATCAGTTAAAAGTAAAATTTTAATCAGATAGTTGAGAGAGGTTTTTTCCACCCAAATAGTCTTAAATTTGTATTTCATTATATTAGCTAATTTATGTAACTGAATGTTCTAAACTTAATATCTAAGTTGATCAATTTTTGTGTATTAATGTGTAGTATCTTATTTGAGTTAATGGTTCTTATACTTGGTGGTTTATCTGACAGTGAAGGTAGTTGTTAACAGGGCGTTTTATTGGGCAAAAAAATCTCAGGAAAATTTTTAACTTTAGAATAGGAAGTAAAGATGGAAAAATTTTATTCATATGGTGAAGGAGAAAGCCTTCTTTAATCTCTTAAATGTACAGCAAAAAGATTTATGTTGATTTACCAAAATATACCAAAAGATGCAACAGATTATCCTTTATTCTGTTGTCTGTCTGTCTGTCTGTCTGTCTATCTATCTATATATATATCAGAATACTAGAAGATGAAGTTATACTGCTTCTTTCTTCTTTGAATGACATCCTTCTGCTGGGGTCAAAGACCATACTTGGGAAATATTATGAACTGAGCAGAACCTACCTGTATCTATTCCATGCCTAGAATATCTTGCTATAATTTAGTCATCCATCAACTGTGATGGACCTCTTTGTCCTCATTTTTTTCATATGTAATTAAGAATTGCCACTGCTGGGACCAGCAGTTGGCATAATGGCTATGTCGCTGGACTCCCACGTGGTCGACCACGGTTCGCGTCCCAGACCTGGTGGCTTAAAACTTGCGCCGGGCGTGTGTGCATGCATGCCCAAGATCCTGAGAGGAGAATGAAGGAGAAGGGATTGTGGCGTGGCCATCCCCTCTGAGGGTGATTTCTCTCTTTGTGTCTGTCTCTGTCTGGCTGTTCCCCCCCTAAAGAAAAAAAAAAAAAAAAAAAAAAAAAAAGAATTGCCACTGCTGCTAAATCATTAAAACATCTCTTGGGGCCAGCAGATAGTGTGGAATTTAGGGCACTGTATCCCAGTGGCAAACTGCATGGATTCAAGTCCCAGACCCAGCAGCTTGAAAGACTGGCTGGTGTTTGTGCTCAAAATCATGAGAGGAGAAAGGAGAAGATGGGATTACCACATGACAATCCTCCCCCCTGGGAAGTACTTTCTCACCCTCCCTTCTCCACCACCCCCATTTCTCTCTATGTGTCTCAGGCAAGCACATGTATCCAATGGCAAAAAAATAAAAAATAACCCAAACAAAAGTCTCTTAATGGGGCTAGCTCCATGATGCAGAGGTCAAGCAATACTAAATCCAATGGAATATCATGGGTTCAGTTCCCTGGATGATCTGTACATGCCAGGCACATGATTTTGGCAGGCTGGGAAGGCTGGGAATGGGGAGGTGAGGAGATTTTAGTATGAAACCCTGTTGAGGGTGTTCCTCTCTCTCTGTCTCATAAAGGAAATAAACTATAAAAATATAAAGAATGTATGATAATGATGCAACATTATCTTTACTACTTCTACATCATAAAGAAATACAAAAAAATATAAAGAGGCAAAAGTTTTTAGGAAAAAAGTTCTTTGGAAGGCAGTTCTAATAAGATGAGATAAAATGGTCTGCTACTTCAGACACTTTGATTTAATGGAAAGTTTAGTGGATCTAACTTCATTGTGTAGGATTCTAATTGTCTATGCTGTTAACAAGTTGTATGGCTGGGCAAATTAATCATTGTGGGTCTTAATGTTGTCCTTGTGAAAGTTGAGATACTGAATTAAACCATCTCAAAGGTCCCTTCCACCCTTATGTAAACTGTGTGCACATTCTCCCCACAAGCAAACAAAATATACCTGATTATTCAAATAAGTTTGAAAACTACAATATTTGCCTATAGTGTGGTTTACATGTGGGGATTTTTTACTGTATTCTTTCTTTCATTGAAAAGTTCTTCAGGAGCGAATACCATGGGTACCACCTGAATGCATTGAAAATCCTAAAAACCTACATTTGGCAACAGACAAATGGAGTTTTGGTACCACTTTGTGGGAAATCTGTAGTGGAGGAGACAAGCCTCTGAGTGCTCTTGATTCTCAAAGAGTAAGCTTTGAAGTTACAATTACTTGTGGTTCTTCATATTTCTTTTACATTATTTGATACTTTTATAAACCACCTTTTTTTTTAAGTTGATAGAATATTATACAACTTATTCTCATTGTATGATTCTTTAATTATAGAAGCTGCAGTTTTATGAAGATAAGCACCAGCTTCCTGCTCCAAAGTGGACAGAATTAGCCAATCTTATAAATAATTGTATGGATTATGAACCAGATTTTAGGCCTTCTTTCAGAGCCATCATTAGAGATCTTAACAGTTTGTTTACTCCAGGTAGGTATTGGTGAAGTAATCTTATTGATTTTCTAGCTAGCTTTCTATCTTCGTTACATTTAATGAATATTTACTAATATTTTAATGCCTTCTTAATTTGTCATGTGACTTTTCCATGCTTTGTACATATTCTGATCTCCTTGATTGAACAGTCTTACCATTTTAAAAAAAAATAGTTTTGATTTCTGGTTTACTTATATTCAATATATATCCTTTTTTTGGGGAGAGGTTTTTGGTATAGGGCGTGTGCGCTCACCAGAAAGACACAGACAGATAGAAAGCGAAAAATCACCCCCCGGGGGGATGGCCACGCTGCAATCCCTTCTCTTCCATTCTCCTCTCAAAATCTTGGGCACGCACGCACACATGCCTGGTGTGAGTTTAATCCTCCGGGTCTGGGACTCGAACCACGGTCGGCTACATGAGAGTCCAGCGACATAGCCATTACGCTAACTGCTGGTCCCTCAATGTATATCTTTGTGGGATGCAGTATGGATTTATTTTTATTTGTTTATTTTGCTATAGCATGTGCACTCACCAGAAAGAGAGAGAGACAGTGAGAAGGAAAGTGAGAAATCACCCTGCCGAGGGGACGGTACATTGCAGTCTCCTCCATTCTCCTGGGATTTGGGTCATGTACACACACATACACATGCCCATGCTTGATTATTTAAGCCACTGGTTCAGGACTGAAACCCAGCTGGCTATGTGGGAGTCCAGCGCCTTAACCACCATGTCATGCTGGCCCTTACACTATGACTTTTTAAAGCACTCTATATTTTTTTACAAATGACTTTTCTCCTTTAATAACCTAATTTTAGCTTTCTAGTTGATGAATAGTATACTGTAGGTGTTTGTTTGGCTATATGGGCTTTTTTAAAAAATTATTTTTGTTTTCATTAGTTCCTACGTATTTTATAATTGATTGATTTTCTGACCATGAGGTAGATTTGTTTTTGCTTGTTCTCTCCTCATTTAAAATAGTGAGTTAAATGTGCATGGTTTGATACATAGGTACATTCTGCTTCAATATTTATCACCATTTTCACCTAAAAAAATCAGACTATATTCTTAGGTTAAATTAAAACTCTATTTTGGAAAGTAATTGTTTATCCTTTACAAAATTTCTTTGAAAGCCTACCAGATTATGGATAATGTATTTAAACACGCTCATTAATATAATCTAAACTATTTGAGTTTCCCTGTGTTACTTAGTATTTTGAACTCATTTCTGATTATTTTGGTCACCTTGAATGTGTATCAGTTTAACCCAGAGAGTGTATTTTTCAACCTAATGTGGTAACATTTATTTTTCAAATTTCTCCAGATTATGAACTATTAACAGAAAATGACATGTTACCAAATATGAGGATAGGTGCCCTAGGATTTTCTGGTGCTTTTGAAGACAGGGATCCTACACAGTTTGAAGAAAGACACTTGAAATTTCTACAGCAACTTGGCAAGGTAAATTTTCATAATTAAAAAAAATAGAATATAATCATACAACATTTTATTTTTTTAAAAAAAAGTCTTTAGGGAGTCTCTAAAGTCTACTTTTCACAAACTTTTGAGGAGTCTTTGTAGAAGAAAGATTTAGCTGTCACATTTTGGGGAAGTACTCTGTTAAACAGATCTCTCTACTGAAGAACTTCTCAGAGGCTTTAATATATAATGCACATTGAACATTTTCAGTAAAATGATAAATGAGGTAGCATTTCCCAAATTTATTTGACCATAGAATTCTCTCTTTGTCGGGGAAGTTTGTAGTTCATTATAAATGAGTCAGTGAAATAGAGGAAGAATACTTAGTCTTTCTACATCTTTTTTTTTTTCCCTTATAGAATTATTTTTTATTTTTCTTTCCTTCCTTCCTTCCTTCCTTCCTTCCTTCCTTCCTTCCCTCTCCCTCCCTCCCTCCCTCCCTCCTTTCCTCCCTCCCTCTCTCTCTTTCTTTCTTTCTTTTTCTTTCTTTTAATTTGACCAGAGAGGCAC